GCAGCAAACCGGAGACCCCCGCCACCCAGAGCGGGTTTTGGAAAGGCTCGGCGGCCAGCTTGGTGACTCAGTTTCCCCAGCTGCGAAACAGCTTCTCCGTCCCCACAGGGTGCTTCGGGGACTGACTCGTAAGCAGGCAGCGGGTAGAGATCCTCTGGTAGAAAGTTCCTTATGGGGCAGTGATTTTCAAACACGGGGAAGATGGCGAGCCCCCCTCTGTGAGGAAAATTAAACCAGTTCTCCGGCTCGAGTACCCGAGCGCGTTGCTTGCTGTGCTTGTCGCGTCAAGGTGTCCGCAGCTGCAGTAGTGACAGTTTGAGGGGTGGTCATCCTGCACGCACGAAGGCCTCTGCCACCATGCTTTAGGAAGTGTTTAACAAGCCCCTCAGTATATTAAAGATTTGAATAGTTGTGCACGTTCCTCAGGAGCCCTTGAACGTGTTTTCCAATCACTGCTTTTTAAAATTTTTTTTCCTTTTAAAATCTTCTACTCTGAACAAATAAATGGATGAGTCTCAACTTCAGTTGTGAGCTGCTGTTTGCTTGGGTCGAAAGGTTGAGTGAGCGTGATGGACGGAACAGTGTTTGAGTAAAATGTGTAGCAACTGGAAAGGAACAAGCCAAAGAGATGCTTCATAGGTTCTGAAATATTGTATTTCTTCTCTCTGGTTAAAAAAAATTCCTTTGACACTTGTTCCTGGCATACATCTCCCTCTCGAGTTTATGCGTGGTGGCTTCTTGTAGGATTGCTCTCTGTCTGGCTTTTGGGACTTTGCCTGCTAGGCTTCTGCAAAGGTACGATCCCGAGCTGGTGGTTGTTCAAGCACACTTAAATACCCCTGCGTGCCCATTTTCCAGGTAAAAAGGTATAGCAAGTGTAGTTGAATGAGGAAGTGGCTTTGTTTTGAAAATAAAGTGATGGGAAATGAGCTTTTCAGTTGCAGAGTTTAGTCCTGTTGATTGGTTGCATCTGTTATTGTAGCCCATATTTGGTTGCAGAGTTCACCTGGTTTTTTTCTTCTTTTTCTGCCCTTAGGGTAAAGTAGAATACCTGGTGAAATGGAAAGGATGGCCCCCAAAGTAAGTGGTGTTTTTCTTGTCTTTTACTTTTTCTTTAATATTCCATAATAGCTTACTCTGTGTCTCTGCAACTGAGCATGTCATTCTTAATGGGTAACCTTTCATGCCTCATTCTAACAATGATAAACAAAAACAAAGAGCCACAAACCAAAACCAAATCTATTTCCGGACTGGCAGCTGAGGGATACAAACCGTGTGCCAATCTATTCTGACTGGTTTTTGCCACCGCTGAAATATTCCATTGAGGCGCTTTCTAGATAGAAATGTTCATTATGAGTTCAACAGGGAACCCTGATTCTTCTGAACTTGGAATGGCTCCTGCTTTTCTGAGTCAGCACCAAGAGGGCCCCACTTTATTTTTTGAGCTATATGCAGTCTTTTAAAACAGAAAACAAGTTGATGGTCTTGGCTAGTCCTACTGCTTCTCCTCTGCAATTCACAAATGGGAAGGAGCGATGTTTCAGATGTATTGATTGTAGCCAAATGCAAGTCCCTTGAAAATTAACGCCATGCCTTCATTTCCTTCTCCAAACCCTTCTGTTATTTTGAGTGCCTTTTCTGCTTTACTTTTGGTTTCTATGTTGCAAAACAAAAAAAAAAAATTTTGCAGTACTGCTGTGCACTGTTTACAGATACTTCTCTCATTTAAATGCAGCTGCCTCTGAAGAAGAGTGATTGCTCTGTGCCTAAACAGAGTGTAAAATGCTTTGAGATTAAAAAGGATTAGGTAACTGGAGAATATTACTGTGTTAGCTAGCAGTCTAGTAGAACAGTCTTCCCGGCCAACCCATATGGGGCCCTGTCTTTGCTTTTCTGTTTGTAACTCTGTGTGTGTACATACACAATGTGCGTGGGTACAACTACATTACACATGCAATTGTGCACTGTGTGTTGCTAAGCAAAGAGGGTTGCTTTTACAGGTTCATCCTTGCAGTTGCAAAGCAGGGCCCACTAGGATGGTCCTGACAGATTGTACCTGGTGTCCGACCAGTTGAAATGTGTTCCTGCATGCCTAATCCTTGTGCCTAAATCCTCATGCTTATAGGGAATGTGAGAGTATAAGCTGGTTGCCTTCTCTGGTGGTGATGGGAGAGGGTGACTGTTCTTGACTGTAAGTTCTGCTGTCAAAGTGTAACCCTGTGCACTTGTCGAGCACCAGTTGCCACATAGTGTGGGTCAGTTCTTGGACTGCTTCAGCCTTCTAAGTAGCCAAGCCTGATTTAATCACTGGTAGAGGTTGGGAAATGTATTTGTAGTCTGTGAGGCACCATCCCCTTTTGGCCAGAACACTGATGTTTATCCCATTCTTGTTTCAACAAACGCATTGAGGTCCTTCTCTTGTAAAGTCACTTGCCAAGAAGGTGGGCTGAGACATGGAGTAATGTTTCTTTGGACAGAGCAGCCCTTATACTTACTGCTGCATTAACTTGCCCTGAGCCTTGGAACTCTGGGGGAGCCAGAAACTCTCTTTTGGGACTTAAAAGCACAGCCTTCTGCCCAGGGAGCAAGGGGATGTGAGGGTTCCCTTCTTTTAATGCTGTGACACATCCAAATGCCTTCCCTCTTCCCCCAAATTCCAAATCTGAAGAGCATTGATTTTTTTTTTTTCCCTCTTCTCCCCCCAACCCCATTTAACTGTACACTCAGTGTTTTGAGTTGCTTAAAACCAAAATGCTTTGAGTATTGAAGTCACTTTCATCCTGCTAGCAGTCTCTGTTCCTTGTTTCTAAACATACATATGCCTGTGATGGCATGCAGCACCACAAGCTGTTTGCTTCCAACATGTTCTGTTTCCTCATCTCATGTCCTATTTCTCTTCATTCCCCTCCCCAACCCTGTTGCATTGCTCTTTGTAATCTCTGTAGCAGTTATCCCATCATTCCCATTGGAGGCTTCGTGGAAGGGAATAAGGATACGTCAGTAGTTTGCTGCTTTTCCATGTAATTGATATTTCACTTTTTTTTTTCTTTTTAATAAAAAAATTCTTGTTAATGCCCTGCACCTGAGATTTCTGCATTGTACTGCTGGAGTCAGGGAATGGAGGAGTTACAATCTGATTCCAGCTACAAGCTTGTTTACAACTTGCGTTGGAGTTAAGAGGGGAGGGGGAAGAGGAGGAGTAGAAGGAGGGGGAAGGAAGATCATATGATCTATGTTTTCCAGAGTGCCTGCTCTCTGCAGTTCTGCTGCAGCCTGGGCTGTGTGTACCCATATATATAGCTCTCTGTGCATGTGCGCGCGCGCGCGTGGCAAACTGAACTGTGGTTTTTTTTTTTTATATGCAGTGTTTTGCCACTGCAGCGAAGCCAGAAACTGAGCTGCAGAGAAAAAGGCAACACCCACCAGGTTTTGTTAAAAGCAAATCCCCTTTCTTCTCCTGCCCATGAAAAGCAATCCGAGGTCTTTTTTTGTCCCCCCTTGCGTTATTATTTTTCTTAAATTTGTAGAATGAGTGCCAGAATCCCTGCAGCTGGGAGGAAACCTTCCTCTGTTCAAACAGCATCTTGGCTTTGACAGCTTGCAGTCAGGTTGCTGCAGGAGGCTTGAGCAAAGGAGGGAGGGAGGGATCAGCTGGTTATGAAGACATGTCTGTTCTTAACTCTCTGATGTACAGTGCACCTTGGGATATCTGAATTTCATAATTTTGTTTCTCCCTTTTGTAAAAGAATTGTACTTTCATTTCTAGAACCATTTTCCAGGAGTGCTCCTATATTTCAGTAACTTTCTTCTGTCTAATGGAGAGATGAAAGGGAAAAGCATCCCCAAACCACATCCCCTGCATACATATATGCATGTATCATGTGCCTTCATGTGCCGTCTGCTTCATCCAGAAATGTAAACATCCTAAAATGTTTTCCCCCTGTTTAAAGGCACTGATACAAATGCATCCTTGACCACCTGCATGTGGCTCCTCTCTGGCCTTCCTCCCCAGGGGCTGAGAGGGGCTCTGCCTCCAGGCCCCAGACCTCACCCTCCTGGAAAATTAATGTTCTGAGTAATTTGGGGTTTCAGGCTTGCCTTCTTGCCTTTGAGTTTGCGTGGTAGAGACATGCTACCCACCTTTTCTGGGCAAGCATGACCCCTTAAAAGCAAACATGGCATGAGGACCACCTTGTGACCATTTTACCTTCTGCAATGGGAGTCTTTGGCCTCTTCTCTCTGGTGTTAAGTGCAGCTGTGCCCTTTGGGAACCATTTTCAGCGATGCCTGCTTGGTGGGTTCAGTCCTTTCCTGAGCATCTGACTTCTGTCACAGCTGTCTGGCAATCGAGGGAGATAGGGCAGTGAGTGACACTGTTCACAGGCTACTTTCAGAGCATTGAGCTTATTTTGAGTAGTTTTGGTAACCCTGACCACAACGCAGATGGGCTCCTCCTGCGCTGGTACAGAAATACTGATGACCTCTGCCAGAGAGAAATAACCTGCAGGGGGAGTTCAGCAAGAGGAGGAATAGTTGGAAAGTCGCCATCAACTTGCCTCGGGGTCCAGGTCTAAACATGTTTAGTTGAATGGCATCAGTGGAGAAAAATTAAACTCTTCTTAAATGAATACTTTCAGCTCCAGTGATTAGAGGTAATTAATAATGCAGGTGAGAAAGCATACTTACTCTTTGAGCACTCTAAATTAAGAGAGACCTATTTTTCAGAAAGCTGTATCAGATGACGTCTCATGGTTCAGTGGGGTTTGTTGAATTTGAGGGAGCGCTGCAGATGAGACTTGTTTAGGCATTGACTTAAAATCAGTTTGCAAGTGTCTGCACAGGCTTTGCAAACAGTGTGGAGGGGGCCCTGGGGAGGAAAGCCTTCCCTGTTCTCCTACAAAGAGCTGCTTGATGCTTGGCCCTGCCTGTTTTGGGAAGGGGAGGTGGTGTCTGCAGGAAGTTGGGGAGGGAATGGCTGGGATTCCTCAGAGATCTCGCAATGTTGTGGCAGGCCCCACTGACCCTTGTGAAGACAGTATCCAGGGCTGCAGCACACTGGTAGCAGGCCTGCAGAGACAATGTTTCATTAAAGTATTGTTTACTTTATATTCCTTATGTTTTTCTTCAGATACAGCACATGGGAGCCAGAGGATCATATCTTGGACCCTCGCCTGGTAGTGGCTTATGAAGAAAAGTAAGGGCGCATGTTCTTTCTCTCCTTGGACACATGAAAAGGAAATAGTGTCTTTATTTCGTAGTGTGCATAAAGTGCCCCCGTTGTCCCTACTTCAATCAAAGATGAGATGTATAGCAATGAAACTTGCTTGATCTCTGTGCCCTGGTGTTGGCTGAGGTGGACAAGACAGGGTTAAAGCATCTCGTGATTGGCACTGTTCAGGAAAGGAGGCCAAGAGCAAGCAGCATTGAGCCAAACAGTAATCAGTCTCAGGTTTTAATCAGGTCCAGGACTGGACTGGAGTGATGCAAGGTGATAAGTTCCTCTAACCCATCCTTGATCAGATGAGTCAGAGAAATTCCCTTGTTGCAAGGCTTTCACTCCTACAAGAAGCAATTCTGGGATGTTTTCCAAGTCCACGCTGGTCACCTTTGGGTTTTAATGAAGGAAACGAGGGGGCTGTGCTGCAAAAGGTAGAAGTCCCAACTACGCTTTGTGCTGTGGTATTTAGTACTCGGTTTGATTTGTGTTCCTCTTTCACAGGGAAGAGAGAGACCGTGCATCGGGGTACAGGAAAAGAGGCCCCAAACCAAAGCGCCTCCTACTGCAGGTAGCCTCTTGCTCTTCTCTGTATTTCTAACTCGTTAGCTGCTGTGCTGCTCCTCTGCTCACAGGGAGGTGGAAACTGTCCGTTTGCTGTTGCATGGACAAAATCCAAGGTAACAAGATAACACAGCAACATGAAATCAGTGGGTAGGCAGATAGTTTTAACCTGTTAGCTGAAGAGCCAGCTAACGTGTCTTTGAAAAAGCAAAACAAAACAAAAAAACACAAACGAACAACAGCTCTCACTCTCTGAACTAGGATTTTACAAACTTTGAGCTTGGGTGGTTGCAGGTTGCCTGGTTTGTGTGCTCTTCTAATTACACGTTGGGCTTGGACTTTCCATCATGTTAGAGGTAGCTGCTGGTTGGAAGTAGAGTTCCAGCATGCTTTGACTGTTGCCAAGCAAAGCAGCTAATCCTAGGAAGCACATGTTAGGAAGAGCTTAGATGGCAGTTGAAGAGGTGAGAGAAACAGTGTTGTAGAAGCAGCACAACTTATCCTAGCTCATCTAGACGTTCAAGGACTGAACAAAGAATAGTTTCCTGGCTCCCAGGTGGGAGCCCTGACTCTATTGTCAGATTTCTGCTCTGACCCTTGCTGCGTTGATGTCTTGGCAGCGGCTGTATGGCATGGACTTGAGGAGTGCCCACAAGGGAAACGAGAAGCTCTGTTTCTCTCTTGCACGGAGGTTTGGAGGAGGAGACAGTAGCCTGCCAGGGGCCAAGTCAGGGCAGGCAGAGTTCTCAGAGAAGACCGGGGGAGCGGTCCTGCCATTCTCTCTCCGGAAGCAACGCAAAAACCAGAAGTACCTGCGACTGTCAAGGAAGAAGTTCCCCCGCATGGCGAGCCTGGAGAGCCGAAACTGCAGGCGTGAGTTCTTCCTGAATGATGCAGTGGGCCTGGAGGCCAGGCAGGGCCCTGAGGACTGGGAGGCCATGCAGCACACCAGCAAAGAAGGTAAGGCCAGACACTCCTTGGCTGTGAAGTTCTGGGGCATGCGAAGGATGCTCTGCATGCTTCCTCCTGCTTGCCTCATCCTGGGATTGTGGTTTAGGTCAGGTGCTAGGAGCAGCTTTTGCTGGCTCATGCTGTGGCCCTTTTGTCTGCAAGTTCCTTTCTTGTTTGGATGAATAGCACATCTTAATCTGCTGGTTTGGTGCTGTGGCGTCTCTGTAGTCTTGGACTGGTGACGCACCTCCCAGTGCTAGAAAACACATGGAAGATACTGCAAGCTACTCCCCTCTTCTAGTTTCCTCTCAGCAGAGGTGACATGCAGGTGTGACAGTGATGAGCTCTGCCTCTGTCTGTGTGCCTGCATGTGTTCAGCCAGCTGCTCAGCTAAAAGGAGCTTGGCTGGCAGTGGACAAGCTTGGACACCAGCACTCATCTCATAGTGCTGCTCTGAGGAGCATGCCGGAATGCCGCTAGGAACCCACAGCTCATTCCTCTGCCCCCACCTTCCCTTTCTTCTCCACGATCTGAAGTCCCTTGCCATAGAGCTATGTGAGAGGGGGATGAGAGATGAAGTGAGGACGGTAACTTCTGCCTGATCCCACAGAGTACATGGCATGAGCGTGGGCACAGGAGATGTCCAGGCATATTTGGCATTCTGGGGAGGGATACCAGCATCTTGTGCAGGAGGGCTGTGGGATGTGCGTGTTGCTCTGAGTTACCAGGGAAACTCTATCCCTGCATTATTAGAGCTGAAGGCGTAGCTTTCCTGAGGAGTGGAAAACCGGGGCTTGTGCTGCTTGTAGTAGCTAAGGGAATCCTATTACTCCTTGCTAGGAGTAGCTGTTAGCCAGGCTGGATTAGGCAGGATTTGGGGGAGAGCTGTGTTCTGAGAATCAACTCTATCCCCTCCTTTCTGAGGGGCACTCAAACAGCACCCAAAATCCAGGGAGGCAGCAATACGGCTAGCACAGAGGAACCCAGTGTTGCATCCTGGCAACGGGCAAATATGTGGGGCTCCCCTAGAAGCTCTGGGTTCTAAAGCACCTGGGGATCAGAAGGGTGAATGGCACTATAGAAATGTGAAACTGTTTTTGTTCTCCCCTTGACACATGGCCTGCATGGAATTCCAGTTATTGTTAGGGGGGATTGGACCCTTTCTGAGGTGAAAGTAGGCATCCCAGGTGTTTGAGACAGAGGCCAGGAAATACTCTCTGAAGGGGCCCTTGTTCCTTGCCCAGGTTGGGACAAGAAGGTGTATAGTACAGATATAGTAACAGGGAGAGGGTACATTTTCCCTCCTCTATCTGTGTATTTTTTGTGGCTGTCTCTAGGGTTTGAGGGGCGAGTGATGCTTTGCGTGGCAGGGGGACTGAGAATTATTCTTACAGTGAGGAAGTGCAGGGATGCTTGGGTTTCTTGTATGGAGCTATCAGGGAGCAAAGGCAGGATGTGAGAAAGGGCGAGCAGCCTCTCCATGAAGCAGTGTTGATAGATTTTTGAGAGAATACGCACCTGGGCTGCGTTGCAGGAGCAGTACAAGGAAAACCCTCCATTTTGGATCGCTTTGACTCCCACAGGAGTATCTAAAGTGCGTGTGTAAGAGTTTGTGATTTTTGACTTTTCAGCAGGGTAGGGCATTTACAAGCAGGTGAGCTCACACCTGGGTGAGTGTGCTTTGCTGACACAAAGCCAAATTAGGGGCTGAGATGGGGTGAGAGGTATCAGGGAATTTGTGAGTGGTGTTAGAAGGGCTTTTGAGCTCTGTGTAGGCTGTTCCGATGCTGGTGTGTGTCTGGACACCTTTGCTACTCTTTCCTTTTTCTGTTATATCCTGTAGGGATCCTCCATTTTCCCTTACCCTCTGAGGGGAGGGCCTGCCCATGCTCTTTCTTGCCTTGTATGTGCAGACGCAGGCTGATTTTTACCCACTGTTTGTTGGAAAGGAGGCCCCTTTTCCATCCTTCCCTCTCCCTCCTTCCTTCTCTCACTCTCTCTCTCTCTCGCTAATGTGCTCTTATCTGCCTCTCCTTCTGCAGCAGATGTGGATGGCAGTCTCCCTTGGATTCCCACTGTGCCCCCCAGCGAAGTGACAGTGACAGACATCACGGCAAACTCCATTACCGTCACTTTCAGAGAAGCACAAGTGGCTGAGGGCTTCTTCCGAGACCGGAGTGCACAGTTCTGAATCTCTGTTTTCAGTGCTCCCCAAAACCAGTGCTTTTAGGGTGGGGCTAGGGAAGGGTTATTTTACCCCTTAAGAAAAAAAAAATCCAAAATGTCTCCTCTTAAAATGTTTACAGAGACCTTTTTTCTTTTTTTTTTCCCCTCTCCTTTTCCCCCTTTCAGATACGCAAAAAAAGGGCAGTGTAGGGGTGTGTGCTTGTCGTTGCTTTGTCCATCTGAAAAACTGACAGCCCTTTCCCTGGCAAAGACTCCCCTCCTAGATGTGAAAGCAGCAAGCTGAACAATTCACCTTTTATCCTGCTAAGTGGCGGCAGCTGCATTTGTGGGGAGAGGGCATGTGGAGGTGGAAAGAGAGCTGGATCTCTAGCCTGCCGCCTTGTTCTGCAATTGATATCCCTTGGATAAAGATACTTCTCTGTGCATTGCTCTTCCCACCTTCCTCCTCCCTCTCTTCCTACAGCAGCGAGAGGTGATGGATCCTACCTGTGTAGATAACTCCAGCCTGTTAAGACTTTCTCTCCAGTGCTGTTTTCCCTGTGGCCTGCTGTCAGGACTTCAGAACCATATTTGCCTGTCTGTGGTAAGTCAGCCTTTGCAGCACAGGTCCGTATAGACAGCAGAGGTTTCTCCCTTTGATTGTTGATCATGCGGAAAGACTGAAATGCATCTCTGAAATCTAGATTGGCGACGGAAATTCAATTTGCCCTCATTAAAAGCTCAGAAACCCAGTGCAGTTGAGACATGCCATTCTGTATATGCTAAACAGGATTTCCAGGCTCAGCTCTGCTGTGCGAGGAATGCGCTATGGAAAGTGGGGTGTTCTTACCCTTTGCCAAATTCAGTATTAACAACAAATGCTGCCCTGAATCGGTGGTAATAAGTTGGTTGAAAACTGACTCCTCTCCCCTGGGAGGAGGGGCTAATAGGACAACTGAAGCACTGCCTGGCACTGCAGAGTTATCCAAGATACTGGCACAGGCCCAAGTCACAGGAATTGGACAGAACTGAGCTAGAAATGGACCTTGATTAGCAGCAAATTCTGTTTCTGGATCTCACTGAGAGATTCAAGGTAAACAATGCGTGGGGAAGGCACGCGGTAGATTTGAGGAGGGGAAAAATATTTGTAATTCTTAGCAATGAGAATTCTTGGATTGTACTGCCTGAGTAATATTCTTCCGTGACTCCAGTCTCCTCACAGTATCTGTGATCCTGTACTACTTTACTGATGGGAACTTCCCCTTGGAAGGCTTAAAAATCTTTGCCAAGGAAAGTGGTCTGCATTTCAATAGACCCTGCCTGATCTTGCACTTAAAAATGCCTTGTGCTGGACTGCCTGTGACACTTTTGAGGTTTTTGAAGAATTGCTGTGTTTTGAGTTGGTAGTTTAGCATAGCATCTGTTCTTGCACATGCATGTTCTCTTCCATTTTTTTAAAAGCAAATTTTATTTAAATAACTTAAATTTTTAAATATAGACCTTTTCCTATGGAAAGCAAGAAAAGTAAGCTAGAGTCTAAGATGGGACCTGCAGGACAGAGTGCTGCAGGGTAACATTGGCTACTGGTATGATTACTGTCCTTAAATCCTTTGTTTCCTTTCCCCACCCCACCTGAAGCATCTCTTATCTGCTGTATTTATTCTATACGAAGCTATGAGCCTTCTGAGCTCTGAGGCAGAGACACCTGTGGAAATTCTCAATGTTTTCCTTTGAAGGGCTTGGCTCCTAGCCTGCAGAATTCGGGAGCTCTGGGGCTTCTTGTCCTCCAAACACCTACTTTTTGCAAAGTGCTTGGACTGCCCCAATGGTTTTTATTAACAGCAGGTTTTACCTCAGATAGGATATGGCAGCTCAGTGTAGACTTAGGATTTCCCCTTCCATCTCAGAGCTGTTTGAGCAGGCCTGTCTTCCACTGTGTCGCAGCAGTTTCAGGATTGCTGGGAAGATCTTGAATTTCTGGACAAACCTTTGTCTCTCAAAGAAGTGACATGGGAGTTTTATTATGGAGAAATCTGAGAGGCTGAGAAGTGGAAGCTGAGGGGGGGGAATTATGTTGTGGGAGGAAGAGTGAGTGGGGAAAGAAGCTTGTGATAGTGAGCTAGGGCAAATTGATGAGGTAAGCATACAGGCTCAGGATGTTTGTTGAACGTGGGTGTCCAGAGCGAGGCTTCTGTATCTGGAGTTGCACCTTCTTTTGCAGGATGTGGGGTCAGACAGTGTTGTCATCGTCACCCCCACACACACACCCCCTCTTCCCGACACCTGCCAAATGTGCTGAATACCCGCATCTCTCTCTTGTGACCAGTGGACATGCCACATGGCTGAGCCCACTCTTGGGGGTTGTAGCAGGTCAGATAGTTATGGTTGCAGAAGCTTAATATTTCAGCTTATTTTTTAAAAAGTCTTGAACTCCAGCTCATCCTGCTAAATCTTCATGGCATTTATAGGATTTGGTTTCTTTATTCTAATGCAGCTACTGCTGCCTTTGTCTTGTCTTCATCTCAGTGTACAAATACACCAAAAAAACCTTCCCATTTATTAAGGTTCCTGGCTTTGGCTGACATCGGAAGCAATACCAATCCTGTGGCAGGAAAGAGCTTGTCCTAATGAACTGGATTTCCATCCTCTGCTTTTCTTTCCACTCACCAGCTGAGGCTTCTCAATGTTTTGTTTTAGCATTTCCCTTTAAACATCTTTTCTTCCTCTTGCAGTGGAATTTTTCAGAGACCTGTGGTGGTCTTTCAAGGAGGATCCACCCACAGGTTCATATCTTAATCATTTTTTGGATCAGGCTAGCTTGTGTGCTGCTGGTGACTAACCATCCTGCGACACAAAGTGTTGAACAAAGTACCTGGCTACCGTGCTGCTTTGTGTGTACAGGTCAATGAGGAGTTAACCCTTATTGGGTTAAGACGCAAGAAGTTGCATGTGCGTGGGTTTGGTTTGAGTGTGTGAGGAGGAGCTTGTGGTAGGAAACTAAGCAGTTACTGTGTTGGGGTGGACTTTTTTTTTGACATTCATGAATTCTTGCTTATCTTAAAGATCTTTTTGAGAAGATTTTTTTTCTTGATCTTTTTAAAATGTGGCTCTGTTCCGTATTGTCTGGTGATACATTGTTGTAAACTTCCTTGGTAGAGCTGGCCTTCAGTGACTTGAAAATTAGCTTTATTCCACTTCTGCAGGTGTAGGGTTTTACTTGTGATGGCAAGAGAGGTTGTCTGGGTTTACTTGTCTCTTCTCCCCAATACCATCCATCTGCCAGTTCAACTCAAAATCTGAACAGTGAGTTGAGACCTCTTGGGCTAACATATCATGAAAATCAGATGCTGCGCTCGGAGCTTCGTTAAGCATTCCGTTTGATTAGAAGAGCCAGAATAGCATCCAGCTGAAGCTGAGTTTAATAATTCTATTTGAAGCACAAGCCGAGAATAGAAATGGGCTAACTCTCCCATACCTCGTTTGGCTCCATGGCTGTAAACAAGAAAAACAAACTTCAGCCAGTGGAAATTACTGAACTGTACGCAAGAAACAAACTTCTCGAAGAACAACTGTTCTAACAGTCACTTTTACAACTGTTCCCATGTGAAAATTTACCAGCCACGTTTGGGAAGTAGGAGTTTTTATTCCATAGATCTTCTCACAGTGAACTCACTGTATATATGAGAAAACTGAGGGGCTTCATGAGATTGGAAAACCTTTATTGTTAGTGCTTTGTTAAAAAAAAAATATATATATGGAAAGGACTGCCTCTGTTCCTGGATAGTTATAAACTAGTTATTGCTCCGATATATAAGGGATGCCTTGGAACAGCAAGTTTTAACACATAAATAGTGGCATTAAGTAGCCTTGTAGCTCCTGCATGCTCCTTACTGTCTTGCATTTGCTTGGGGGCCCTTCTGCTTGTGAAGTCAGAGCAAGGTGTTTTGTTTTGGGGTTTTTTCTTTTTCAAGCAAAGCCAGGATATTATTATGGGAACACCCAAAAGCAGTTCCATTTGCCAAAATAAGCCCAAATTTGTTCATGAATTGACCCTTGCTTATGTCGGAGCCTCAGACAGAAAGAAGCTTATTGAGAAATGAATGGCTTTTTTCTGTTGTTAGTGTTGTGAAACTGTCCAGAATTGTTCTTCTGGTGTTTTTGTGACTGAATGTATAAAATTGTTTGTTCACCTCACAGGGGGCCCTTGGCCCCAGTACTGTTTCCTGCTGTACACCAGCTAGCGCTGTTTGATGGTTTCACTGGAATAGAGAAGGGAGGCCTCACACAGGTCAAAAAATAGGCAGGGTAGCTCATGCAAGACCCTCGGTGGTAGCCACAACAGAGGCCGGGGCGCGGAAGACGGCCGCGAA